TATTTCTGGGTTTGTGGATATCCCTGTCGAAAGTGTGACTGGCTATGCAGTGACAGATTGCTGAAGTTACAACGAATAATCTAACTGAGTCGCTCGGTTGCAATCAAACGCACTATTGAGCATCCCAATTACAGCAATGCATTTATATGTAAATAGGGATTCGCTTATAACAGAACAAACATCGCAAATTACATAGATACGTTTCACGCGAAGCCCTATTTACATACCAATACATTGCTTTAACTGGAATGCTTAAAAGTGGTCTTTTCATATTCGGATGAAAATAGACGCAAATGATACGGTTGTTTACCTACGCAGTTTCTTCTTTATTTAGTCTGAACATGCTGATGGGAGGCGGATTTATAGAATTAGCGCCTACGCTCAGCCGTGCGCATTGCGTGAGCCCCGATTCCATCGTCCCGGCGTGAATTTCTGCGTGAACAGCCTCTGAAATCCTCTGACCTTCAGCGCGGCCACTGCAACCGGTCACAGGTCATCCCAGTAAGGGCCAAAAGCCCGTTTCTCATAGAACATTTGGTCTACTCTACCGTGAGTTAAAGGCAATGTGAGTAGACACTAGACCCAGAATCCCGTATTAGTTTTCCCCTGGCGTCGGCGGCCTCCCCTGGGCCGCCGACGTCTGTTAGGGGAAATGTTTCATGTTTGAAGGTAATGATGCGAGCATCAGACGTGATCAGATGAGCTCAGGTCTAACTATTGGTATGCTTAAATTCGAAAACACTTCTCTAGGAACAAAAATGTATTTATTTACATAACATAACAGACGCAGGAACTGGGGGTGGGAGTGAGTGAAAACAGCTCTCCCCCCTCCGCGTTTTCGAGGGCCTGTTGAGGGCCCATTCTGATGTGTTACGGGCCGATTCTAAGATGTTGAGGGCTGTGTGATTCTGTAAGTCTATTCTAATCTGTCAAGGGCTCATTGGATATAATGAAGATCCATTCTGAACAAAAGACGGCATTTGTGAGTCCGTACACGGCCCATTCTGGCCTTTAAAGGGCCTTTTCTAGCCTTAAGAGGACCTATTCTGTTCTGTAGATGGCTCATTATGGCCTGTACAGGCGATCAACTTTTCGATCAACTTTTCATGAGGGTCCGTTCTGACATGTAGAGACATATTTTCGAACATTGAGGGCCCATTCCGGCCTGCAGAAGGCTTCTCCAGGGCTGCAGGAGGTCCATTCTTGCTTGTAAAGACTCCATTTTTGCTTAAAGAGGGCCTGTTCTGACCCGCAGAGGTCCCATTCTAACGTGCAGTGGGCCGATTCTAACTTGTAAAGATCCCATTATTTACTGAAGGGGCTCACTCTGGCTAGAAGGGAGTTTGCTCTGGTTAGAAGGGGATCCACCTTCTCATCTTAGTGAGCCCAATTGAACATTCTAAGGTTTCCCCCGAACTTGAACATAGTCTCTGCGCCCCTGGAAAATACGTTACTCAGCACGCTATTGTTTGACTGCGTCATGGGACGTCTGAATGACGTTACAGATGCTGCCAAAATGCCCATGCAAACTGTGCACTCGGTACCGCGTGCTCGGTAATGGCGGTATCTTAAGTCATTCAATCAGCAGTCCTATTGCCGAAATATCTAGCACATATGTTCAACTTCTTGTAATATGTGGCAACAATCGTGATTTGTGTAAAATTAAAGCACATGGTTTGCCCACTCAGTGTCCTAAACCGAATCGGCTATACCACCATCCAACGCTGAGGGTTTGCTCCTGTTGTGACTGCTGGTCAAGGAGCTACATACCGTCGTTTTTGTCGCTTTTCGCTTTGCACACGTAAAACATACCAGTTTGCTCAGTTTTTGTTCGCCTCTTCCTGCTCTCCCATAACCTGGAAGCGTGGTAAGCGCGAGAAAGACGCCACTGGCACGGATTCGAACTCGGCATCTGACATTGATACACCCCTGGAAGCATACGACGTAAATGCCGACTGTCCCGTTCCGTGTAAGACGAACGCGGTCGCTCCGTGTGAGATTCCGATCGGCGTTCTCTGATGATCACATTCAAGAGAACGTCCTTCCACATGGTTGCTGTAAATATCCAATGCTCCTCGGCCTACTGATAGGTGGTTCATTTGATCTCCTTTCGGACATGCCCTCGTCACTTTTCGCCGATGACAGCGCAATTTGGTGCTCAGATGCAGAATCTAATTATTCATCACCACCCCATCAAGGCGCACTTCATAGGTTACAACAATGGTCAATAATTTTTGGTCTCTACTTTTTCGCTAAGAATCTGGTCGTTACAATTTTCAGTAAAAGGCGACGAGATACACCGTCCTATTGTTGCCAACTCGACGGTCACGATATAAATTTTGTTTCACTGTTCAAAGTCCTAGGCGTCATTCTTGACCAAAGATTGTCCATGTCCAGTCACGCCGAGCATGCCCGCAACAAGCGCGTGAAACGCTTAAATTTGCTAAGATGCATTTCATGGTCAAGATACTGAACTCCACCGTTATCCATTCTGAAATACCTGAAATGATAATCGCTGGTCGAAAGGGGTTTAATCCAAATAATCAAATCGTGTTTGAACCCTGCGCTGCCTGCATGACGCTGATAAAGCCAATTGCAGTTCGTTATGCTTTGAAATTGTGCTCACGAACGTCACACATTAACGACTTGCTGATGATATTGGTTTAGGTCTTGAACGCCGCATGGTCAATGGGGTGGCAGTTTTTGAATAGCTTTACTGTGGCGTCATGCATGCCTGGGTGACCTTAAAATAGTTTGCACGAAGCAGCCTGCACATCTTCGTGGGCGTGCAGCTCAGAAACTAGGGGCTTAAGAAGAAGGGTAGTGCTGTAAACTGCAACAACAGATCTTCATGGGTGGTCATTTCAGTCCAAAATCTGATTCAAATGGGGAACACTCCGTCAAAGTTATGTAAAGATTCGTACATTCGCTTGAGGTTTTAAAACCCCGTAACGTTCGAGTAATACGTTCATGCTGGAATATTGAAGGCTATCCCCAGCCACTGTTTTCTTTAATTATTAGGGTGCTACATTTTTTCGGAGAAGTATGGTTGATTAGGGTCAGTCTGGTGCTCCGATTCATAAATTTGGCAGGAACATTATTGTCAAAGTTATTGCAAGTTTAGGGAATATGCAGAGCATAAACTTCGGTTGTTTTAAGCCCTTTTCGTTCCGTGTGGCCGCGAGGCGTTATTAAATGAGCGTTAAAAAGAGCCTCCACATTTGTGTGGGGTTTTGAACTGAAATAGCCATCTTCAAGATACTTCGATGTAGTTTACAGCCATACCCTTCTCAAGACCTAAAACCCTAGAGTTTCAAAGCTACGCGCCCGCGAAGTTGTGCAGGCAGTTTTATGCAGACTAATTCAATGACACCCAGGCATGCGTGACGCCCTCATTGATCATGCGGCGTTCAACGCCAAGACAAGTATAATTGTCGAGTCATTCGTGCCTGGCGTACGTGAGCACAGTTTCCAGATACAACGGACTTCACTGGCTTCAGTGTTACACACTCATTGCAAGTTTTGAACACGGTTGGTTATTTTGGTTAGCTGGGTTACAGCCCCTTCGATCCCAGCTGATCATTTCAGAGAGATGAGATGAAGGATTATGGATAACGGTGGGACAGGACTACGCGCATCTGGGGCCCGACCACCGAGACTTGGCCCGCACCGGGACCGCATCGACAGGTATGCACCGGGCGTCCGGGCGGCGACCCCCTCCAGAGGCTCTCGACCCACTGGTGGCTGGAACATGCACCCTGCGCCGGACAAGCAGGGCGTCGTGAACACGCAGGATTAGGCAAGAAAGATGATAATATGGTCAGATGTAGAACACAAGCCATGTTTTGCGTCACTCAACTCAGGGGGTTTGGGTAGTAGTACTAGACATGACGGAGGTAAGACCTGTAATCGAACGATGTGAAAAAGACATCATAACCTAGTATATGAATGCAAGCGAGCATCTAAAACTCAAGAGCAAATATGCAAGAACACTACGAGAAAGGGTCCAATCACGAGCACATTAAAGTATTGGGGTCAACAAACACCTCCAGCACCGCCACGGCCACATATCGGGAGATCAAAGTACTACAACTAAGTCAGCCTCGGCTATAATGGCAATTTTGGCACAGCTAGTCTGATAGCAGACATGACGTTATAGAAATGCTTCATGGCGCAATGAAACAATGACGTATTGAAGAGCATGTTTGCCATATAGTGGGGCTTTGTTGTCTAGAGCAGTCTTTTGTACTCTAAAGCATATAGTGAGCAAATCATCATGCCTGGTGCTTGCTTTAATATCTTCTAATGAAAAACATCCCCTTTTACATTGGCTCGCCCACTAGAAACAAGGCCCGTAAAGTTATTTCACCATTTTTCAAATGTCCATTCCACATTGTTGACTATAACATCGATCTAGTGTGTCATTTGGCAGAAAGAAATTAGAGAGAGTGGGGAGATAGCTAAAAATGGTTGTAATTAAAATTAACAACTATTTTAGTATCAAAAAACAAATTAAACTGCACCGAAATGAGGCCAAACGAGTCCGAAAGACAGCAGTGCATTGCTGGTATGTATATGAATGAGATACGAGCTCATTTTATCTCTCTTGAATTCTATCCGACATCAGTTTGGTATTTCCATTCTCTGTTTGACGTGGACCAACGGAAAAGAACTGTCAAGTCCTATGAAGGAAACATATATACAAGTAGACCCGCACGCTACACCATTACCGCATTTCACCATTGTTGTAAATACATGTTACGTTTTACGTTGCTACATACCGATGTGTGTCCGGTGCTCACTTATCAAAAGTGCTAATATTTTGCCGGTGGGTTTCGAACTTCTGCAAAAGCTACTGCGGCTGACTGTTGTCACAGACCATACTACCTGCGAAAATTTATATTGTTGACACACCCCTCCCTCTCTCAGAAATCTAAAGCACGCCGCCTAAACGCACGATATGATAGTCGTCGTTGGGTTCCCAATCATCGATTGCCTGCTTAGCCACCAGCTAGCATGAGCGTGAAGACGCTGGAATATCAGCGAAGGGACTCACCTACCAGGCACCGCAATGCCGTGTCCCAGTTTACGAACTGTGCATCGGCGCAGCATCCTCAACAGATTACGCCACTGGCACCGAACAGTAGCATATAGGTAGCTGTATCGAAGCCACGGTCGCCTTTTCATCGTCGCCGACTTCATCCGAAACCGAACCGAACACGACCGTCTCGGGTCTCGTATGCGCCAAGAGGCGGCACTTGACGGCCCATGCTGCTCCGACGACGGCCTCGTCAGCCGTCCTATGGCGCATCAGATCCTGGCACAACCTCAGATATTCCCTAGGAGCGTCAGCGGACGGCGTATCCGCGTGACTGCGAAGCACCGATGCGAAGCACCGATGAAGCGTGACTGCGAAGCACCGACACCCCGAGCAATGACCTGAAGCCGTACCAGCATCTGGTGTGCTACCGGATGGCTGGCAGACCGGGATTGGAGTTATAGACTTGGCCATAATGTGCCTCTGCTTGCTCTATTTGAGCCCCGGGGCGATTGTATTCTGTCCGGTTTCGGATGGCGCCAGCGATAATGGAAAACGCAGCCATGGCTTTGACGTTGTCATCCATGCCGGTGTCGGATGATTCTGCAGATGATGTGTGCCATTCATGCGATCGGTGAGTCGTTTTACCTGGTATTCCAATTTAAGCGCCGAAGGTTAACTCGGTGCGCCTGTGGCTGGGCAAGGCAATGAGTGAGTGGGCGGCAAACGGAAAAAGCATTCCTTTTGGAAAACTGAATACGTCTTCGGCCCCTGTCCCTTCATGTCATAGTGCACTATGCTTCATTTCCAGTACATAGCAGGATTGCGGGCTGCAAAAACAAGCATTACTCAAGCGCCGCCTTTTCATCACCCCAATAGGCACCCTGGCTCCGCCTGTGTCCATGCCTGCTCTACTAATCGCGAAGCTTACCGCGTGCTCCACACACAGACACACACACAATTAAAACCTGCTTTGAAAAGTTTTATGACACCTCGTTAAGTATACCTGCTTTGCGCTTTTGTGTTAACGTACACCCATGATGTGTACATGTTAAAAAAACACATCCGTATCCCCTAGCACATCAACATATTAATAATTATGCATGGACCTGTCTGGCTGAGTCGAAATCGGTTGGCAAACGTAACGGATATGCCGTATCAAAAGCGCCTCAAATTTTTGTTGCTCCCTGTTTTGCCATTTCATAGAAAACTCTTGAGTTTTTACCTTTCTGAGCGAAGATTACGTCAAAGGAAATCAAGCAACGTTTAGTTTTCATAATCGGCCAAGTAGTGACCGAAATCTCAGGGGGCGGGGGCATCAGGCCCCCGCCTTGAGTCCCTAGGGTTACCGCGATGCCCACCCGGGATCGTGTTAAATTTGTTGTTTGGGCGACGAGCAATCTTAACAAATGAAAGGTTTCAAGAACGAACAAAACTTATCAAGGTTTTCATCCGCCTTAGAGCAGTACCGTACTGCGGAATACGGTTAGCACGACTAGTGTACCTTTTTTCATCAGGACATCGCATATCCATGATCATCGAACACGCCTCAGTACAAACAAAACGCAAAAAAATGAATGGCATACGTCATACTGGCAAGATAACAGCGTTGCTTAAGCCCAGGGAGTAGCGTTCGGACATAACAGCGATGAAAGAAGACCCGATGGCTCGTGATCGGGTCATTAAATAGATCCGATCGTTTTTTCACAGAGGAACAGCATCGATCGATAAGATTCTGCCAAAGGCAAGGACGACAACGCCTCGAATTCCCACCACAAACGGCCATCGCTCACACCCCGCCCGTGTCACCGCTCAATACAAACCTCACCCACCAGTGGAATGGCTAAGCGTTCTCACAGCTTACCAATGCTGAAGCGAGCGGCTCTCCTCACCTCCGCTCTCGGGCGCCGTGTACTTGTGCATGTTGCGCCTCAGCTCCTCCAACAGGGTCTGGCTGAGCTCTTTGACCTTCTTGTGGTAGCGGTTCTGGGCCTCGGCGGCGCTGCGGGCCTCTCGGGTCACGTCGTCCCGGTGTGGAATCAGGGACTGCACGCTGTCGCGACAGTCGAGAACGCCGTCACCGCCGGCGCACGGTCCGCCCCCGAGGCTGGAGCTGGACAGGCCGGGTGCGACAGCGGCGGCCACCCGGGCGCCAGTGCCGTCGCTCTCAAGGCGGTTGCTGGGCGCTCATTTAAAACACTGGCCTGGATTCGTCGTTTCGCGACGCAAATCGGTGTAATGCTCTCTTCCTGTCTGACGACTCTCCTGCTATTTCCACACTAAGAATGATAAGGCCTTACGGACAAAAGTTTAGTTGTCATGAAGGAGATGTTACGATTGGTCATAAGTTTTACCTTTTAATTTTCCCTAACATCGCTCTATGTGACGTATACATTCAACATTTATGAGACCGTGTAACGGAATAACCTGCACATGCGTATTTGCTGTTTAATTCTGGGTGTGTTGGCATGAAGTTTGGCGTACTTTAAGGCGATACTGACGGTTACGATGATTATTTTTAATGTCATCCCCACCGTCCGCCACCGGTTGCTGTCAGTTGCTTACTGCCGACTGCGATGCCAATAGATTGGCCGTGCAGTGTTCCTAGAGGCGTCTCTGTTGAGGCACCAGAAACGCTTGGGACATGTTTGGAAGATGATAACACGCGCCCAGGCCCAGGGGCTCCTGATAATTTAGGTGTGATTTCATAGCATGCCAGGGACCTATTAGCATGAAAACCTTGCGGAGAGCGTCGCACCAGCCTCCCTTAGCCCGGCCAGGATTAAATTAGTGCTGAGGCATATTAGCGCAGCCTCGGTCCCAGCGCCGGCGGCACCGGTAAAGTTCTGGCGGTCCCAGGGACAACGGAAGCGTAAGGAAACGCAGGGACAACAAAAAAGCAGGCGACATAAGGCGGGCTAAAACTGACAGCACATTTGAGCTCTCACGGATTCCGGATGGGGCAGGTAGTGAATTCAGTCTTAGGATCAACGAATTATGCAAAGTCATTGGCATCCAACTCAACAAATGAAACTCGTGGAACATCCCATATATTCTGTCATCATACTCATACCATCAGTTGGGGTTAATGAGCCTAGTCAGATTCTACGAATTCTCTAATGTCCTTTACCATTTGTTGTCGTGCGTTTGTTATAATTAGCCTGAGCGTGGGTTTAAGTGCGCTCGACTCGATGATACCCAATGTTTGCACGGTTGGCAAAATGTTTTGGTCCTCCGGTATTTACATTTAATCCGTCTTCTTCCCCGCGCATCATCCAAAAAGGAGGCACCCAATGCATGTGAAGTGTTAAGTTTACTTATATCAATGACCTAGCAGAAAAACGGCCAAGTCTAACAAACAAAACGTGAACGTGAGGCGTATTATCAGGTCTCCCAGCCACGCCGAAATAACATCCAGCTTACTTGCTCGACATAAACGACATCTGGTAAAAGGTGTGCCACTATTACGCCGGCATAGACCCAGGTCATTGTTGAATATTCCGCACGGGACCCCTGATTTTGGAGCGGAAAATGCAACAACGACCTCTGTCCTGAAAATCGTTTTACTGACAGTAGTTTTACTGGTATGCTATTATGTATTTCCTAACCATCTAACCCCGGCCTGGTGCTCACGCCACGCAGCGATCCATCAGAACAGCTCATCATTCAAGTTCACTGTACCCAAGGATATCGCCACCAATCTACACGTCCCCGAGTCCGGTCCCCACCCTCACCTGAGTGCTAGATCCTCTAGTGTGTGCCGCTTCACCAGCGGGGTGCGCATCCGTATGTCCAGCACCAGGTACATCTTGCCACAGCTGAAGACGTCGTTTTCCGCCCTGGCTGGCAGCTCAGGCATCAGGTGGATATTGAGGTTGGAGGCCAGTGACATCGGCAGGCCGGCGGAGTGCTGTGAACAGCAGGCGCTTCAGCATAGGCATCCGCAACTTAAGTCACTCCGCGGGCGAGACGGAGCAGAGGGTAGGGGAGTGCTTATTTTCGGTGGACTGGGCTTGTTGATAATTTTGCGTTCGGGGAAGTCCGGACTTAAAGTGGCGAGCGACAGAAGAGTTGCTATCGTCAGCTATGTTGGTCGTTTGGTTATTTATCGAAGCGTGCGAATGCAATACCACTGATGTAACAGATTATGACATCAGTTGTTGTGATGGGACCAGCGGCAAGCGAACACAGTAAGCAGGTTTTAAGCTCAGCCGTGGCCAAAAGTTCGAGGCACTGCCGATAGCAACGTAAAGTCCCTGCCGTTATCGATTCGCCACCAAAACGATCACGGAAATGCGTACAATGCAAACGTAGGTATATGGTAGAGAGCACCTTTTCCTTGTCTTTCGCCTTGTCACCGTCCTTGCCGTCCTCCCTGCTCTTCTTTGGCTTCTCCTCTTTGATCTCCCTCTTCTCAGCCCTGTCGACCTCGCTCTTCTTGCCGTTGACGATGGAGCCCGTGTCCTCCATGGCACTGCCAGCGGTCAGCTGGAGGAACAGGCTCCGCCGCCCGCCCGTCTGCTCCTCGTAACGGGCTGGGTCCAGGGACTGGATCCGGTAGGCACCGCGCAGCCGGCCCACTGGCGGAGAACGGCCGGACGCATCGCTGGTGGCGCCGCTCCATGTTGGCATCCACAAACTGTGGTTTAAAGAACGCCGGAGGGCGGTGCGCCCAACATAATTTAAGTTTGCGATTCCCGTGTACTGCGCGAAATGATGTCGTTGGCACAAGCATTGCCGATAGCTGTAAATAGCATTAATCGCACAAATTTTGGGAGAGACTGGACTAACTGGTGTGGGGTATGTTCCAGGAATATGACATTATGTTTTGGAGAAGTCCTGTGTCACTGCTACATATACCTCCTGGATACAGCAAGTAGCTCAGATTGACCATGGCCATGCCAAACTGCACACTGATGAAATCATCCATGGTCTTCCTCCGCGCCTTGGCGCCAGCCTGAGCCTGACGTGACTTCTTGACAAGCAGCTCCACAGGTACCATCTTATATCTGGGTGTAGAAAGAACGTGAGTAACCGACAGTATTGGAAGTGTCTCTCTGAATGGCAATATTTTCGTTCAGTTACGAAACGGCGGCAAACTTTGAAGTGTGTGAAAGACGTACATACGTATGTTTCGGTGATACGCTATTTTAAGTGATGTGCTTACTAATCACCCACCTGGAAGCGTATTCCTCAAAAGTGGCCAACATTTTCCTCGTCAAGATAAATCTCTTCTCCGTATTTATGGTGACCCGGGGTCGGTCGTTGGCCATTAGCTCGAAATTGACGTCATCACCACGAAAATCTCCAGAGCTTTCTGGCTCGCCCTCTGTTGGTCTAAAATAATCACTCAGATTAATTTCACCATAGTGCTACAATTGTGGACATGTAATCTTCGTGTACTATATCTTCTCTGGCACGCTTACTATGTTCGGCCATGCCATCACAGAGTGCAGTTTATGCCCTTACATCATAGTTTGGCAATCATTTGTGGGGTTTTGTGCATCTCACATTCATTAAAAACAGCAAAGAACTATGATTATATCCAGCAAAAGTTTTAATAAATGTTCCGTTAGAATGGTCCAAATGATTGAGTGGAAGCAACTCAGCACTCTCCTCTTTGCTCCCTTAATAGCGTTTGGCATTGATGGAAGTTTCATCTCGATGATGCATTTGACGGCCATCACTTATGCCGGCAGCAGCTGTATATGATGTTTCACTCGGTATTAGCTTTTCGAATGACAAACCTTCGTCTCATCTTCGATCACGATGGAGCAATATCTGAAGAGTGAAGGTGGAGGAATGGGGTCGCAAATGGGCATTATTTCATGCACAACCATACAGCATGACAGGTCCTGAGGATTGCGGTGAGCCAATTACGAAGTGTAGCGACACAGTCCTTGTATGAGCGATCCAACCCGTCGCGACTAAACGCGTCTGAGATGTTTACATCCTCGCAGCTCTCGTAACAAATCACGAAGCTACGACAATGTCGCTCCGTGATCATGACGGCAAGAGGCATTGATTAGAGGGGCAGGGGAAGGGTTGAAGGGCGCTAGACAGGTGACAAGTGACTAATTCTTATCAGAATATCGTTGAGTGCGGGTGTAGTGACCTGTGTGCTGGGCGCCTGGTGTATTTGACTGATTTTAACGTACTGATGATGTTTTACAACCTGCAACGAATCCACACAAACGAATTTGTTCCTGAGACCCCTATTGGCCGCGCGTGGTTTCACACGGCTCGGTTACCAGCACCCAGACACTTTTTGTCGCTGGTGTTAAATTTTGCCAGGAAGGTGTTGGTAAAGCCGCCTTTCTGCCCCTCCCCAAGCCTGCTAATGACATCTTCGCGTGATCTTCTCGTAACACTACTTGACCGACTCCTGCTTTTTGGCGAAGCTGGTCGCGCAGTAGTCCGTCCCGCGGCGCGGCTCTGGACAGCGTGCGCTCTGACCTGCGTGCCGGAATGAAGTCGTCGTCCGACTGGCCGCCGGTCCTGCCGTACCAGTAGTGTCGCTCCCACTCGGCGCTGAACTCCTGGCAGAGCGACTTTTCGTAGCTCAACAGCTCATCCGTCTGCCAGCGAGCCGCGCGAACACTGAGAGATGCTGACACGGGAAGACGGCTTTTCGGGCGTGAGGTGATGCTTGCAGTCCGCCAGAGGGTTTTTTTTTTGGTTGTCAGAGCACCCTGTTTCACGCTGACGATTTTTTCCGAACTTATTGCATTTCATTAATGATGCATATCATTAGCACCAAACGGGACTAAACGGCACGGGACGTGTCTTTTACCCGTTCTCTACTTTTTAAGCACTTCTCTTTTCCATTCCCATCAAACGGAAATTGCCGCATTCGACGGCACGGGAGGTAGGGTTCATTACGACTCACCTTGCTGGTTCTACGCCCGACGTACTAAAGAGTAATGCAAAATACGAGACAGCAAGTCATCTGCAGTTTTGCCTGTGCCATCTAACAGTCCCTTTTTTAGAATATTTAGATTGCTTTGCCATCTAAATAAGACCACGCCCTTCGCCTCTACTTAACTTTTGTACGCCTGCAGCGCAACTTCGATGCAACTCAAAGCATGTCACCACTTATTTTAAAGGGATAGTGCAGTCAACCGGAGCAATTCTATGGCCTCTCTTATGATTTAACTCTGATGACACTATAGTTAGAATATCGTGTGAGTACGGTGAGCTGGCAATGACATCAGTGAGCTCTGGAAAGTCTTTTTGCAATGCTTTTCGGCCGCCTCGAAGACTTTACGTGACGACTTAATGCATCTCAGCACTGAATCATTACACATGATGTCTGAAGCCTAATCTGGTGCAACGAAGTTCGACCTGATGCAGCCTTGAAGCCGAAAGAACCTAAGAAAAGTTACCAGCATTGACGAAGTTTACAACATGGTCATTTAGCATCGTCAGGAGGAGGTCATAAGGACAGGCACGCAGTGCGCATGGGACTAGGAATATTTCGTGGAGCGCTGATTTTCCCACTTCAGCCGTGAACAGCTTTGAGAGCGAAGTCATGAGTCGGTGGTCATATAAGGTGGGCAGCTGAACTTTTCCAATCAGATGCAAATATGCCAACAAAACAAGCTAGTCGAGGTTTCCCGACAAGGCACCAGCTGTTCCGTAAAATATCATGAACCCTTAAGCTTATCGGAAATGGGCTCAAAACCCACAGGTGCCGGTCGACGCCGTGCACCGTTGCACAAACGCATGCTCAGATACTTGACGCATGCAGTACTTTGGTTTCAAAGGATACTTTCCAGCTATCAACATGAAAACCGAAAATAAGCATCAGGTGACACGTGTCCTATGTATTGCCAGGAGTCATGTTAACGCGATGAGCTCAATATGTTAAATAATACGCTTCATTCTGACTTCTTCAGTGAGAGATAGCAATGTGAAGTTTGGCGCACCTAGCCCACGCTCAGCCCACTATTTGATTAGATTCAAATCAAGTATTCCATCGCATTCTGGAACACAATTTGGACAGTACGTAGCGGGCCGGCGCAAGAGTAGAGACCTACATCATAGCTCTTTTCAGGAGCAACTGGAACGGTGCAATCAAAACTGCCGGCTGTCGTCGGGGAGGCCAGGATACGCTGACCCGGTCGGCGGCCTGCTGAGCGGGCGCCCGGCCGCCCTGGGCCAGCCGCCCAGCGTCGCCGCCGAACCGCCGCCGAGTGATTTATGTTAAGTAATTATGGGCGTGGATGAAGTGACGGGAAACGGAGACGAATGATGCAAAATATTGAGCAGTTTGCATTCTATTGCCATGGGTCAAGCTTGTGCCGAATAGAAGAGGGCTTAATTTTGCTTGCGGTGGAAGGGATTTCATGTTCAGAATGATTGTGTGTGTTGGTGACTTTGTTTGGGTACAAATGATGGAGATAAAATAAATCGCAGTGTTTCGTGTTTGCATCGTGGTGGCCGCGGCCACCTAGCCACCGCTGGCCGAGCCCCCACTAGCGACCTTCGTCACGAGCCGGATCGTCTCCATGAAGGCAGTGTCCGGTGAATCTCACCAAAATCCCGCCAATCAGCCGTCGGCACGTTTGTGTGTCCACCATTGAGGGGTCCGTGCCATGACGGTCTGACCACATGCGTGCCATGGCAGAGATGATCTGGCGACGGGCTGCAGCAGGGGCACAGCCAGGATTCTCGTGAGGGGAGGGAGTGCCGAGCTCAGCGAAAGCTCGTTTTCCTATTTGTGTCAGGCACCTTCTATGGCGTATTGAGCAAGCCCGGTGCGGTCTGAAAACAATCATTGGTATCGCGCGCTTCGTGTTCGCAGGCGGCAAGGCTACTGCGCTCATGCAGTTCGTTGGTCCGCTGCTGCGCATGCGTGACTACTTGCGTCGCGCAAGCATGAGTTACCATGACCTGCCTTGGCCGCTGTTTGGTGCGAAGGGCGTGCTATGTATGAAACGTACGATTATGTATGGGATATGCAGGCTTTTGGTCGCCCGGGGCATGAAAAACGCTTTCGACGCTTCGCTGTCGGCTCACGCCTCCGCTTTTTTGGGAAGCCTTGCAGCACCACCTGCTGTTACACTAATTTGGGACCGTATTATCTGAGCGGTCCGAGCCAGCATTCCTACACCAGCTTCTTTAACGACACCGCGCTGTCGTTACTATATCCGTGCCAGTTTTCCACCCGGAGTGGGGCGCCAGTGGAGGTCATGTGTTTTCGGTTTGGGGTTTTGAGCGGAGCGAGCTATTCATCTGTCTCCAACGGTGTGCTAATGCCTATTCCCCAGCAGGCCTCCATTCACTCTATCGCCGCATGCAAGCTGCAAGAGCTCTGAGGTGAAGCCCAGCCCGCATGCCCTGTTAATGTTTGTCACCGTTTTCACCATCTGGGTGGCGGCAGTGCCGCTTTGCTGGAGGTGGCCGCCACGGCTGAGGATGACGTGCTCGGTGGTCCGCACGCTGAAGCTCCCGTTTCCCGATTTTAAACGTCAACTTACTCTACCAGGGCGTTTTTATTACGATTTAATGACCTGCCTAGCCTTTATGCTCGAAACTTGCCAGCAGATAACTACCTGGCTCTCTGGCAGCGAGAACTTTCCATCTTTTCCCTGCTCATAGGCAACGTGAAATAACATTGCTCATAGATAACAAAAGCCCAATGCCATAACAAATACGAAGAAATCGTGTTTTTCTCGGACCTATGGCTTGCGATTTATTCCCATGATGCTCTGTTATGGCTGTTTCAGTGCGTCGCGTTTATTGAAATCTGGCGGCCATTTTTGGTGTGGCTGTGACCACGTGCGCTGCAGAGGGGCTGCGGCGACCTGCGGGCTGAGAGGCGTCTGGCTCGGTCTGTGACATGACGCCGATACCAGAACTCCCCGAAGCGTTGGGCGTCACAGAAGTTTGGGAAAAGTCTTACTCGTGTTGAGAATTTTTGAATGCTTTGTAACTGAGCGTTTTTGTATGCACAACCTCTGCTGGGTTGTTTGCGCCCCGTTTGCAAAAATGTTGATTTCGGATGATGATAGTGAGCGACATACTCTTCACGATAAAATTGTGAGTGCGTTTTGATTACTGGTGTTTCTAAAACAGGACGTACGTCTCCTCGTTTTAGGGTCAAAAGTTAACATTGCGTGTTTTTTAGGATCCAGATGCATCAAGGCGCCATCGTTAGTCCGTGTAAAAATAAACCTTTTGAAACTGCAGCCCTTCAAAATGACTGCCGCGGATGCCTCGTTAGCAGCTACATCTTCATCCATCCTCATATGTCAGAGAACGAATTCCGAATGATATGTGTTTCCGACGTTCGCTCACGACAGCCAACTGACTTTCCACGAGATTGACTAAAGTCGTGCCCTGAGAGCGCACGACTTGTTCGACCTGACCTGTTCGACGGCGACCCCGGCCTAATGATGGCTTGGTGAAAAACTAATGATGTCAAGCGTCAAACCGCTCGAACAGCATTCAAGCTTAGAGCTTCACTGCCAGTCGTTTGAGATGCCAGATGGTCTCATTTGGCATTGGAAAAAACTGCTCCCGGCTTATCCTTTATTAGGAGGCCTAACTCTTGCTCAGTGTGCACATGCCCCCAAAAAACAGAAGAGTCTGAAGGGTTGCCCAGATCAGCTCTGTCATCGGCATGCAACGCGCTTTCATATAGAAGATGAAATGCCGATCTTATTCGTGCATAGTTGAAGAAGTAATCGAGCCTTGGTTAAACAATGGCAGACTCCGGCTCAGCGCACCACTGCGAGCCGTTTGAGCCACGACATGACCTACGGCAGATGGACCGTGTTATCACTCAGGGGCGTATTCAGATGGAGGGGGGGGGGGCAGGGGGAAGGGGACGAGTGCACGTGCCACGCGCATGCAGTGCGCTAAAATAGGATGTTCATCGGAACTTTTGGGCTGCTTCCACACCCATTGCGAAATCTTGCAAACGCCCTTCGGTTACCCGGGTGAACGGAAAAGAAACTTAGTGATCCCGATCAGTCTTTTGCCAAGAGCCGTGACTTCGCTACACAGGGGCGCAGCCAGATTTTTTTAGGGGGAGCAGGGTGGGAGGGTGGAGCTCAGTGAGAAAGAATCACGCTGGGTTTGGGCTTTCCGTCATCGCAAATGTATGGTAAAACAATGGAAAATGTTGGTAAAGGAGGAGGAGGTCAGCAAACACCCTCTCACTTCACCTTTGGCAGTGTCCATGCCAATATATGCGCACATACACCAAACATTAAGGGAATTACGTATGGCACCCCAAATTAGCTCCACTGACCGCCTGCGCAAGTGCTGGCAGTAGTCTCAGGTCACCACTTAAAGTAGTTTGATTATATTTTCCGTTTCCATCGTCATTATCAAATATTGATACAAAAGCAAAAGCATGTGCCGTTGTGTTCAACCAATACAATGCAACGTGTGTATCGTTTTTTGCTAATTTTAAAGCAGTCGCTCATATTGATCACTGTGCACTGATTTGCGCAGAGCAGACCAATGCAATTATATCGAATCCAATGCACGCATGGTCTGAAGCTCATTTCGGGATTAAATTATGTAGTTGAATTATAGCCCTGGACATAAATGCACCACACGCGACCACATTTCGGCGCTACCGTGGT